CCCCCCCCCCGGAGAGCATGCGGGAGACCGCCGCTGGTCCTCCCGGCCGCCGCTCCCCAAATCTCATCTATTCTTCTCTGCCGCTTATCCTCCTCGCCGCCCTTGGGCTTCTTCAGCTTCCCCTGGGCGTTGAACCCGGCCGCCAAGTCGTCGGGATCAACCTCCATAATATCCCCCACCACGGGACCGCCCAGCTCCTCAGCCGCCAGCATGGGAGCAAGTTGATTGTCAATAAAATCCAGCAACGCCCTCATGAGCTGTTTCCTCTCCTTGTCATAAGCCTTCGTCTTGGCACGCAACTCATCCATCTTTTCGCGGGCGCTGTCCTCGGGTCTCATCTCAGCCTTGGCCGCGAGCTCCTGCCGCAGGGCTGCGATTCTCGACGTGAGCGCATCCGTGAGGAGGTGCTGGTCCTTGAGGTTGGTGCGGTCAGACTCGAGCTGCTTGCGTTCACGGTCTGCCTCGGCGGCGTGGGATTCCAGGTACGTCCTTGATTCGGTGATGGTTTGGTGCGCGCGGCGGAGGGCGAGGAGCGCGGGCAGCACGGAGCCGGCGAAGGGGAGGAAGGGCTCCGAGGTGGTGTTGATGGTCGTTAGGGCGGTTTTTATGACAGTAGCTTGGTCTTGTGGTGACAGGGGGACTTCTGTTTGCGCGGCGCGGATCTGATGGTTTTTGAGAGTCAGTGAGAGCATCGTGGTGCGAGGGCGAATAGCGCGTCTGAAACTCACTTTTTCGAGCTCGGATTGGTGTTCGCGGACTTTGCGTTGTAGCTCTTTCAGGGTGAAGCTCAGGTTTGCCGCGTAGACGTCGGCCTCGGTGGCTCGCGAGCCGTCATCCATTGTTGTGTGTGATGTGCAGGTGGAAAGTTGACGAGTGAGTGAGTGAGCGGGCGAGCGGGCGAGCGTCTCGCACACGCGTTGGTCTCTGGCAGCTATGTTGCGAATGATCTTATATAGGTCATAGATTTTTGCGTCATTTATAAAAAAGGCAGCGTGTGAGATGACTGGGAGGGGATCATTTAATGCGGCACATGTCCGACGGAATGTGAGTTTGACGACAAGCAGGTCAAATGAGAACGTAACATATATCACTTATGTGGGTGGGCTTATGCGAAGCCACAGATGAGGCGTAACAGACACCACGGTATTCATGCCAACACCATTCCAAGTCGCGTCAAGGCAGTTTTTTTTCAAGATCCTCCAGTAAGATGAAATGGCTCAAAATAGTATCTTCTTGTTCATCCATTCATCAACAGCCAGGCTTCCGTTGTTCGCCAATCACGCGGTGAACCTTGCCGCTCGTGTAACCCACCACCAGGTCAGCGGCCACGTGACACGCCTCACACAGGTGGTTTCTCTTTCTTCTCCACCCTGGCTGACTCTTCGCTCTCCCAACTTCTCGCGACACGCCTCCAGACAGAGCGACCATCAATTCTCACTCGGCAGAGAGTCTTCCCATCTCGGGGTGCCAAAGTCCCATATCTGAGAACCGTCTTGACGGCTTCGACCGCACTCCTCCAGCTTCGCTTTTCGTTGCGACCCATTCTCACCCCGCGCACTGGTATATTCCATGTTCGCCTGCTGACTCAACTCGCGCCCTTCTTTTGCGACTATCTGGTCATATTCCGCTGTATTGCGGCGTCCTCCGCACAACGACCACCCACCAGGCGATATCAGTCCGTTGGTTGTCAACTTTGGAGTGTGACCAACAAAGGTTTGGTTCGAGCTCAACGCTTGCCTCTTCCTTGTTCTACTTGCGAGAAAACCTTCATCCCAGTAGTCGATCGCTTCATCTCCTCACTCCGTTTTCTACCAGCCAAAGCAACTTCCATCATCGCACCTCCCTCCTCCTTCTCCTCCACAGTCACCTAGGAGTATTTCACCGAGGAAAGCCCTGGCGTTTCGGCACCCTTCTTTTATACATTTGCAGATCAGTTACCAGCAGGAAGACAGACACACTTCTACCACATCCTGAGCCCGTCTTTTTTCACTTCTTTGGCCCGCGCCCTCAGTTCTCGTCCACGTCCTCGCCCTCGTCCTCGCGACACTAGCCAAAGTATCCAGTCACATCACGAGCATTACAGAAAAATTTCCGACCCCAGCGATTCTCGTCACTACACCAGCACGTTTTCCTTCCGAAAACCCCTGAGTGTAGATAAAAGACGTTAAATATAGCAGAGAGATCTTGAAAATTCTCTCATCATTTGCCTATTTCAAAGAGAACAGTCCCACCTAGAATTCCTGGGTGCTTGTGATATATTACGTCAACCGATTAAAAGAGGGAGAACCAATGTCTGCCTCGCCGCCCCAGCCAACCTCGACGAAGCGTCCTCTGGAGGAGGCTTCCTCGCCATCTCGTGCCACGGACCAGCCCGACGCGAAGCGCCCAGCACTGGATAAAGTCATCAAGAATGATGAAGAGAGGGAAGCTAGCGAATCCACAATTGACGTCGCCGACAAGAACGGAGACGAAGATGGCAGCAAGTCTGATCAGCCGGATGTTCCTGTAACAGACGGAGGCAGCGATACGAAGGCCGCCGATGCATCCAATGCCGCGGCATCGAGCGACACTGCGGCAAACTCTGCTGCTGCTCATGACGAGACATCTTGGATTCATATTCGAGCTGTCATCTCGAGTCCGGAAGCCGCCACAATCATTGGTAAAGGTGGCGAAAACGTTTCTAACATTAGGAAAATGTCGAATGCCAAATGCACCGTCAGCGACTACCAGAAGGGTGCTGTTGAGCGGATCCTGACAGTCAGCGGAATAGTAGACGCTGTTGCCAAGGCAAGTCCACTTGAGCTGCTTGTTCTCGTCTCAATGGCAACGAGCTAACTTTGTCCCAGGCATTTGGCTTGATCATTCGCACGCTGAACAACGAGCCGCTTGGTGAAGCCTCTACCGCTTCTTCCAAGACCTATCCCCTACGTCTCCTGATCCCCCACATTCTCATTGGCTCCATCATTGGTAAGGGTGGTGCCAGAATTCGTGAGATCCAGGAAGCTTCCGGTGCCCGGCTCAATGCCTCCGACTCCTGCCTACCCATGTCGAGCGAGCGATCCCTCGTTGTCATGGGCGTTGCGGATGCTGTCCACATCGCCACATACTACGTTGGAAGCACGCTGCTAGAGCAGCTCAACGAACGCTTCGGTGGCCCAGCCGCTTCGGCATATGCCACACGTAGCGGTGCCCCGGCAGGCTCTATCCCCGGTGGCATGCAAGTTGTCCCTTACTCGCCTCAGCCGGCCTCCGGTCACTATGGACGACCAGAGAACTACGGCCGCCACCAGGATCGACGGGCTCACCACATGCCTCCGGCTGCTTACCCTCCACACTACCCGCATAACGCCGCTCCTCCCAATCCCGCTATGCCCATGCAGTATGGAGGTCAACAAGCAGCCTATGGAGGTGCTCCACATGCCACGCAGCATATGCCTCCTCATGTTGGTCCCCAGCCCCATGGAGGCCCTCAGGGCCCACCCATGCAGCACGGCATGCCTGGTGGTCCTCTTACGCAGCAAATCTACATTCCCAATGACATGGTGGGCGCTATCATTGGCAAGGGTGGCCAGAAGATCAATGAAATTCGACAAATGAGTGGTAGTGTGATCAAAATCAACGAGCCTCAAGACAACAGCAACGAGCGACTGGTCACCATCACGGGTACGGAGGAGTGCAATCGTATGGCTTTGTACATGCTCTACTCAAGACTCGGTATGGCTGTCACTTGCCGTCAATTTACTTCGTGTTCTGTATTTCTAACTTTTGACTCTAGAATCGGAGAAGCATCGAGTTTGATCATCATATCATAGTGATGGCAAACTGATTTGAGGTTCCTAGTCATACAGCAACCTTTGACGTTCATTGGAACAACATAGGCAAGGAACTTGTTAGCATGTACCAGCTTAGTCTATTTGCGCCCTGTGACGGACTAGGGGTGCGGCTTAGTTAGCCGGTCGTGCTGCATGAAATGTGGTAGTGTGTAATGGCATATTCATTTTACGAGCAAGGTCCTAGGACGGAGAGGAGAGCGTGTTGATCGGGTGATCAAAACGTGGGAGTTTATGGGCTGTGAATGTGTGGACTGCGCCAAGTACTTGTTTAATAGCGCAGTCGAATCTATTGAATTAATCGCGTTAACGTATGGGAGGTTTGAAATTCACTGGAAAAAGTTCTACAGCTGCATTGCCACGCGCTCCGCAGGATTTGTTGTGTAGGGTGATGATGTTTTGACGCGACGGCCGTGGTCGCCAATAGAAGTATCTTCAAACATAGTCATAGACAGGGCATGAGGCTGGCAGAGAACCTAGCCCATTGTTCAAGTTCAACGCTAAAGTCCAGGATAATGTCCAACAGAGTGACGCGGTTGGGTAATGGTGAGAATAGAAAAGAATGAGAATCATAAGACGTAACCGCCCGCCAATCAAAGCCTGTTTAGTTTGACGTGGTACTTGAGAAACACCAGTTAGCCGAAGTGGGATCTTGGCTTCGTAGCGATTGGATACAAGAGAATAACGTACCATGTCGGCTGATTTTCTCTCTTCTCTCAGATAATGGATGTTTTTGTCGATTACTAGATATTCAGTAAGCATTTTGTTCTCAAGTCGCACATTATGCGGGACAGTCAAGGGGCGAGGGCGAGGTCGGGGTAAGCGTTGTTACACATGCTGCAGGAAATCAAGCAACTCACCTTTGTCCTCGCCACGCTCGGCTAGATGCGCCTCTTTGCTGTCCCAGCCGAGCATCATGCTAACTGTAGTCCCCTCGGGGACGTTTTGCGAATCATGCATGAGGACGTCATACTGGCCGTAAAATGAGCCATGGTGGACCGGAATATTGGCAGCATCGACATTGTCCACAAAGGGCTTCATTCGCATCTCGAGCCAGGTGTCGGATGCGCCGTAGGCCGTGAAGACCTCTGTGCAGGGGGCATTTAATGTTGCACTAAGACTCCCCCGAACCAAGGCTTTCCAGAAGATGTACGTCTCCACTACGGCGCGGAACGAGGCAATCCAGTTCGTAAAACTGGGCGAGGCAAGAAATGCGTCGTGTGCTGCTAGAGAAGCCCAGCGAATAATCCAAGTCCAAGTTCCGGGACGCTCGATTTGCTGGCCAAAATATGTGGATGACACGCCGGGAACCGCCTGGAGCTGTCGGCAGACGTCGCGAAACGAAAGAGGCAGCTCATCTCCCTGCTGAAGGGACGGTTTGAATTTTAAAGTAGCGACTTGAATGAGCTCCGAGGAGGTCGTTTCCTGTTTTATAATATGATTCATTTTGAAGAAAGAAGTGGCGAACCACGGCGAGGCAGATTCGGGATATGGACTTATACAAGGCTGGTCGTCGACAGTGGGGACTGTTGGTTCGCAAGTAGAAGGGACGCGATTTGGAGCGTCTTTGGCGACAACAACAATAATGATATCAGTGTCTGTTGTATCGAGATGGAAAATGAAGTCAGGTTGCTTGAATTTATTCCAGGAGGAAACAACGTAGTTGATGGACAGGGCCTCGTAAGAGTAATAAGGGACAGTGCGGAGGAAAAGATGGGCAGGCAGCAGAGAGCTTTATGATGATTACACGGCGGCAACATCCGGTGGGCACACGACCGGATATTACGCTGGAGGCACCGGCGCGATAACGGGGGTGGGCATGGACATTGACATCGGCTGGACCAACCAGCTGAGCCTTTTTCCTACCCACAGTATGTTGTCGTGGGTGGCGTCGACACGTCCAGGGCGGCTCCCGAAGGCAGAAGGATGTCCGATCCAGTTTTCTCCGAATGCCCTAGAACCGTGGCATACTGTCAAGATGTAACGTGTGTCATGAAAATTTTATAAAAATTTCGACCGAACAAAGGCGTGGGCCGTGGGCCATAATGTCAACACAACAACGGAAAGCCCCTACCACTGCAGGGCCGGAATCCAGGATGTCGGCCATCAAGACTGGGTGGTGGGACAAAGGACGCAGAGCAAAGGTCTGGCGTGATTCCCAAGCTAGATGTCAGGAGATCGAGGAGCAGGGCAGAGAGGAAGACGGAACCGAGGCAGCCGCTGACAAGCACGGTAGAGCGAATAGCGTCACGCCAGATCTGTATCGCATTTGTCGATCTGCTTTTCCGTGGTTCCTCCAAGCCCGGTGTACGGCGCGAGGTAGTCCGGCAACGGAGGAGAGCTTGCGTGGACGCAGAACGAACGCCTGCTGCGCCCAGGCCTTCGCTTCGTGATCCAGAATTTCTAAAACATCCACCGAGCTCCGTACGTGGAGCAGGAATGGCTATGTTCCCATATCGGTCGGTTTTTGGCGGATGCTAGTGCCAAGGCTCGGCAGGCAATCTCTCAATTCGTCGCTTGCATCGGTCCTAGGTCCCCCATCAAGAAGGACGGGGAGGCCGGTTTTCATTGCGGTGTATAGAGCTCGGTTCTAACTACCCTTGTCACCGTGTCTTTCCGTGCCACTGTCATTCATATGAGGACCTCGTGTCGAATCTTCACCGATGATGCCGAGATCACATATGTACATAAATATGTACAGTATTTCCATGTTTATTTCGTGTGTCATGCTTTAGCATATCGAGCTTCATTAGTCTAGCATCCATTGGAACCTGCAAGGCAATTTCAGCTGAGAAGATGAGGAAAAGTACTGCAGATGCGAGAAAGTGTGTATGGTCAAAGAAAAAAAAAGGAAAGAAAAGAGCGAAGAAGTACAAGAAATTACCCGCTTAGTCGAGCTCAAGCAATTGCTCCCATCGTGACTGCCGTTCAAAGCTCATTTTACTTCATCACGTGTCAACAACCATTTCTCACCACCCAATCAACCTAGAGAGCCTCATACGTGCCTCCACCCAACACTCGATACAAATCAAAGCCAAACCCACGGAAGCAGTAGTTGAATAAAACAGGCTCACAATGGCCCTGGCTAATATTGAGACCAGCCAAGCGCAGCACAGCACTGCAAATGGCGTGGATCCGACCCTTCCCTCAGAACTTACCCTCCTGACCCTCAACTGCTGGGGCCTCCTCCATGTATCGGCCCTTCGCACTCCTCGCCTCGCCGAAATAGGCAGACAAATAGCTACACTCGAGCCGACTCCTCACATTGTATGTCTCCAGGAATGCTGGGTTCAGGACGATTACCATGGCATCCGAGATGCTACGCGGGCCATCCTACCTCATGGAAAGTTCTATCATAGTGGTGCGTTTGGGGGTGGTTTAGCCATCTTAAGTCGTTGGCCTATCGAGGAGAGTTCCATGTTCCCCTACAAACTGAACGGACGGCCCACCGCCTTTTGGAGAGGTGATTGGTACGTCGGGAAGGGTGTTGCCACAGCCAAGGTGAGATACGGACCAGGTAGAAAGGACATCATTGAAGTCTTCAACACTCATGTAAGTGGCGAAACCATCGTCTACAGGCTTTTTCAACTTCTTCATAGCTAAAACTTCAGTACGAAAGACTCATGCTCCCTATGAAAGCGGACCTAATGACTCGTATCTCTGTCACCGAACCGCCCAGGCATGGGACATCGCTAAACTCGTCCGCGGTGCCACTGACCGTGGGCACTTGGTCGTCGCCCTCGGTGACTTCAACATGATCCCCCTCTCCCTCGCCTACCGCATCATCACATCCGGCGCCCCCATTCGGGATACATGGCGTATCCTCCACCCTGACAGTTCCATCGGGGCATCGGACCAAGCCGAAGAAAAGGCTCGCGGTCTCCCCGTCCCTACAGCCGAGCACAACATCCGTGTCAACGGAGCAGCCAGTGACACAGTCTATAACACATGGAGATGGAGCAAACGAGATCAAAAGAAGCTCAAGCACGATCCCTGCTCCGTGGATCCCGATACAAAAGACCCCCAGGGCAAACGCATAGACTATGTCTTCGCATCAACAGGCGACGTCTCCGGTGGAACAGGCTGGATAGTTAAATCTGCTGCTGTAGAAATTACAGGTCGCCACCCAGAGTTGAATTGCTCCCTGTCCGATCATTTTGGCGTCCGGACTACTCTTCAACGGCACACTCTTTCTGACGGTGCTGTTCACAGGCCCACCGAGCACGACCTACAGCTTCGCTATAATGAAGAACATACTTGCAGGCTAACCCTCTCCGACTATGACGAGATTCTCGCCATGACGAAAAAGTACACTTCTCGAGAAAGGCAGCAGCGATATTGGCGTGGTGTTCACTTTTACGCATCTGTTCTTGTTTGGATTGCCTGCTTAGTAGCTGTGTGGTTCAGTCCGCGCAACTTCGTTTCCTTCCTCCTCATGCTGTTAGCCAGTCTAGGCTTGGCCACTGGTGTCATAGACGGTCTCCTGGCACTGTTGTTCTTCTCCGGCGAGATTCGTGGTCTCAAAGAATTTGAATGGGAGATTCAAAATGCAAGGGCCGCTGCCGTTTCACGCGGGTCATCTTAAAGTGCAATCACACTACTCACCAAGTTCTATTGTACGCTGGAGGAGGGAAAAAAAAAGAATAATGTTCTATAATACTAATAATACTATGGTCCAGCGACCAGTAATTCATTTTCTCATTCTTCATGCTCGGATCTCATACTCGTCTAAGCGTTGCTCGCGCTTCCCCCCTTCAACTGTTAACGCTTCGCTGAGTTTAGAGCTCTGCCATCTCGTACTTTCCCAAATTTGGCGTTATGTATCCCCCCGGACGCATCCGACGCCACGAATACCCCATGAATGCCGTCTTTCTTCTCACGTCCAAGGCCAATGTTTTGGTATTTTGATCTCGCAATAATATGTCTCTGGGTCGCTTTCGTTCTTTTCTTCCATACATACGAATGAATGTTTTGAGAGTCTTGCGCTCTTCAGGAGTGATATTGAAAGTTCGGTCAATCCTGCGATCAGCACTACGCAGTCTTGCCGAATCGTATGGGGTTGCAATCAGCTCGATCGCCAAATTCTGAACCACAGGCCGGCATTCTCGCAGCACCCAGCGAATATGATCAGGTGTCGGGTCCACTGTCTCGTTCTCAGAGGAAGCCATGGGCTCTGTAAAAGGATCCGACTCGTCGAAATAATGTGTGTCATCAAGACTAGTTATGTGTGGCACAAACGGCGGGTTGATGGCATGAACACGGTCCCAGGGAAAATTCTTGAACCAGCGGTGAGACTTGATATCTTCCGCATCATCTGGAAAGACATGTCTTTCAAAGACATCCATATATCGTCTATTGTCAACCTGGCAGCGATCTTTCATTTGGTACCGCCTCGAGCATAGCCGGAGCTCCTTGTCCTGAATCAGCCGATATACCAAGTCCTTGCATTTATCGCTGATTAAAGGTCGATGTGGGAACGAGAAGATCTTTTTGTGATCCTAGGAGTACGATCATCAGAAATCTTTGGTACCTGAACGTCGGAGAACTCGGACGAAACCTACCAAGATGTTGCTCTTCGTCTGTTTTCGACCATCGTCGGCAAAGAAAGGGGTATGCCCATAAAGGCACTCATACAGAATGATGCCAATGCTCTACCAATCGCACCTTCCATCATACTCAGAACCTTTACAAGCTCTGATCACCTCTGGTGCCATGTATTGGCTCGTTCCGACGACAGAATTCGCTGAGACACGGTTGCCGCATCTGTTTCTCTAGCCCAGAAGGCTAGGCAAATCGTCTTCGTTTCCTACACTTTTCCGTTCGTGGCGGTCCAAAATGTCCTTCATTGCTTGCAGCCAGGGGATCTGCGAACTAATATTGGCAGACTTCTTTCGGTCCTCTGCATCACCATCCACACGGATACCCAGTCTGCCCAACAAAGAGTAACGCTGGCAGTTGTAATATGAAAGGTCATGAGACCAGTGTCCGTCAAATGCGAGCCCGAAGTCCGATATCTTTAAATGTCCAGATGCCGATATCAGAAAGTTGTCAGGCTTAATGTCACGATGAATGAACTTGAGTCGATGCGCCTCCTCAACAGCCAGGATCATTTCAGCAATATAGAACCTTGCCACTGACTCGGGAAGTATGTTTTCTCGAATCAGTAGACCAAGAAAGTCTCCACCTGGCATGTATTCCATGACCAAGTAAAGACTTGTCAGGTCATCGAAACTGGCTACCAATGGTACAATCCTGTCGTGGTTAGTGAGCATGGAAGCGCCTCAGAAATCGCGGGGAATTCGAGACACTAACCAGTTGGAACCTTCTGAGGCGACAAGAAAATCCCTCTCTGCTCTTAAATGTCCTTCTTGGCAGCTCCGAAGCATCTCCGACTTTCGTATGATCTTCATTGCAAAAACTTGCCGAGGGAACGCATGCGCCTCACTAGCTTTTTCACGTACTAATTTGACAACCCCAAAGCTGCCTCGGCCAAGCACTTTAAGGCAATCGTAATTTTCCGCGTATGAAAGGTCTTGACGATCGAGAGAAAGTAGAGATTTGGTTCTCATTACTCGTGTCTCTCTGGAGTGGCACGTCTCCTGGTAGTAAAACGATCGTCTAATGACATCCTTTTCATCTAGATCCAAATGCGGACTGTAGTAGAGCTGGGATTCCAGATATTGTTGGCGAGTAGCCCGAGCGTTCGGTTTGTTTAGAAGATTATTGAAGTAGGTTTCAAGATACACCTTGGCGCCTGCTGCTTTCTCAACAGTGAGGATTGTGGGCTGCGGTTGATATAGCCCCTCGTCGATGGTTTGTAACGTGCCAGCATCCGGACTAGATCTGGACCACGGATGCCTACGGCTCCGACGTCGTTTCGGACTTGCTTTGTTGGAAGTTGATTGCGAAACCCTAGAATCCACAGATGTTTTACGAGTTGAGTTGTTCCCAACGACGGACGATTTGTCGGTAGCCAGCGATGAAATCGAGCTAACAGCATCACCAAGAGGCAAGGAGGGAGAGCTTGGCATGGCTTGCAGAGACGTTCGTCGTCGCAAAGAAGAACCTCGAAGGACAACTGTTGCATTGGTTGAAGTTCCAAAGTTCTCAAATCTGAGCCGCTTTGCGAGAGCCTTTGGTGACAAACCCCTGCTTTTGTGCAAAGGAATTGGTGTTGTCATGCCGCCCACGCCATGGCTCACGTATTTCCTGTCTGCATTTGGGGATGAAGAGCGCCTTTGATTCCATTCAAGGATGTTGGAGTTGTCCGAGCCTAGTTATTGTTGGCGAGTGTCAGCAATAATGTCAAGAGAAGGGGACGGGCGCATACAATTGTATGTGGTTTGTCTGATGGCACGGATGGCACTGCGTATCTCAGACAATACTTTGATACTCCCAGGCCGATTCTTGGTTGGGTTCAACTCGGTTTGCTCCCCATCTTTTCTGTTGTCCGCGTTTGGCTGTGGTCCTGCTATCTGTCTAGTTGCTGGGTCCAGTGCTGGGCAACTACTGCGCTTGTTCAACAGCTTCGGCAGCATATTGCCTGGGACTTGAAGACGACTTCAATGTTAACAGCTGACTGTCTTTGCCGAACCCACCTCTATAATATTTATTCCTGAAATGCGTCGATAGGCATGTAGGCAGGTGAGTTGACTTCCATAGCCCACGGGTCGGGCAAATGGAGTGAATGCTACTGATCAATTAGTCGCACGACTGGCACGGGTGGCGAGGAGGCGAGGTTGCAGTTTCTAGGCCTATATAGACGGAACTTGCTCTACACGTGAATTCAGACTTCGTTGTTACTTTCCGCTTGTTGACCGAATGTACGCATGCCTCGGGATGGCTCTTGCCTCCCCGGCCCTCCCCAGAACATGTGTTAACACGGCTTCCTCAACTCCCTGGCCACAATCATCAAGTAATACATACCTAGGTAGTTTTATGTCAAGGTAAAGTATACAGTCGCAAAAATCTTCGCCATGTGTCTCGGTCATGTCACGCAACTTCCATAAAAACACAGCTTTTATTGCATAAGTACGCCAGAATCCTTGAAGCAGGCCCTTAAGACATCCATCAGCGGCGGTCTATGCTACAGACAGCGCACTGCTCAGTGCTACACCAATCATGCAAATGCGCATCATCGCCTCATCCCCCCTTCTATGCCCAACTGCCTTATTGCGTTCAGTATTCATCAAACACAAAATCCTAACAGAGGAGACAGGTCCAAGACTATTCAGCTTCGCAGTGGGTCTTACGATGGAAATTCCAAACCTGGAACGTGACAAACGCCGCTACCCAGCTCGTGCCAGTATCAACTCAGAGTTGGGCGCCTGGGATATTCTTTTACACGTCAAATCAAGAACAAAGGAAGAATGGGTACATCAAGTCGGGAGCCTGTTTGACTTATTTGATCTCGAGCAGCTTGACGTCAAATGTCAATTGGCTGTTGGCAGGGATGCCAGGCATGCCACGAGAGCCATATCCAAGATGTGCAGGGATGGTCAAACGACGTTCACCACCAATGGCCATGCCGGTAATACCAATGTCCCACCCCTTGATAACCTGACCCTTACCGACTTTAAAGGAAAAGGGTTTACCCTTTTTGTTGGCTATTTCCGCGAGTTAGCATCATAGAACAGATGAGAAGCAGTAGCATCGAGTTCGCATACCATCAAACTGCTGGCCGTTGGCAAGCTTGCCAATATATCGGACACCCACGGTGTCGCCGCTCTTGACAGTGCGACCCTTGCCAATGGTTCGGTCGTCGATGGTAACTCCCTGAACAACCTTTACGCCAGTAGTGGCCTTGCCGGACTGCTTGCCAGAGCCAGTGGGCCCCTGCTCGAGGTTCTTGGCAAACTGGACCTTCTTGTCCTTCTTGCTCTCTTCGGCAGCTACGGCCTCGCCCTTGTTGTTCTTGAGCTTCTTCTGTTGCTTCTTGGAGTCGGCAGCCTTGGCAATCATCTCATCGAGACCGTCAGCTTCCTCGGCGGCGCGCTTATTCTTGCCCTTCTTGGTCTCTACCAGCTTAGGAGCTTCCTCCTCGTCAGAGTCGACCTCGGTGACACGGGGATCCTCGACATCATCGAGCTCGTCGCTCTCATCGTCACTGGCATCCTCTCCCATAGCGTAATCCAGCTCCTCAGGGTCAAAGCCATAGTCCTCCTCGTCATCCTCACTGTCATAGTCGTCCTCATCATCATCCATAATGTAGTTTCCAGTGAGGTAGACGGTGTGTGTGCCAGTGACGACAAAGAATACCTTCTCGCCGTGGTTGACAGTGATATCGAGGGGCTGCTGATAGTTCTGCATGCTACCATTAGTCCCACGCCCATTTAACTGACAATGTCAAGGCAATGGACTTACCCGCTCGGTATCAAGCGTGCAGACAACGAAGTTCTCGAGGTCAGCACCATCATCGCTATCATCATCTTCGTCATCCTCTTCTTCTTCTTCATCTTCGTCAGCTTCCTCGTCTTCTTCAGTGGCCTTGGCCTTGCCCTTAGCTTTGCCCTTCTTGTCCTTGGCCTTCACACCGTTGGGCTTGGCATCCTCCATGTCCTCGTCCTCGTCATCCTCATCCTCATCCTCCTTGGTAGCCTCGAGGAGCTTCTTGATAGCAGCAGCCTGCTTCTGCTTCTTAGCCTTTTTGGGATCGCTAGGGCCACCATTGGCTTCCTCGTCATCCTCATCCTCATCCTCATCGTCGTCGGAGGCAGCGAGCAGAGCCTTCATATATTCGTCATCGATCTCCCCGTCGTCGTCCTCGTCGTCAAGGCCAGGGAAAGCCCGCTTAACAAGTCGCAGAGTAGCGCGAGGAACAGCAGGCACGTTGCCCTCTTCATCAGCCTCTGGCTCCTCGGTAGGGTCCAAGGCAGCCATGGTGATGCGGAACTGGTTTGTCGGTTAGTTGGTTTGCCGCCAATTCAAGGCAGAGAAATGCCAATTCGAGTGGAATATTTCATGGCTGCATCTTGAGACATGATGACAACATAAAAAGGCTAGAAATGGTACTCACAGAAGCAGGGAAGTCCATGGAGGCCGGGATCAAAATCTCGCCAGGCGGGACCTCGAGGCCATACACAGGACCGGGAACGGCGGACATTTTGGCTACACTAATTGTAAATTGAGAAGCAAGAAGTGCGATGTGTAAAGGACGCCGAGTAGATTATGAGGTGGAAGTGGAAAGAGAAGAAGTCGTCAGTTGCAAATCGTGATACTTCTCTGGCACTGGCGAGGTGTGAGAATCGAAGATCGAAAAGTCAAGGCTCTAGGCGAGCGACGAGCTTTGGAAATTTTTCTTTTCCTTGGCTGTCGAGACTCCGCTTTGAACTGCTAGCCAATTAGAAAGTGCGATAAGTCGTTATCGCAAAGTGGGACCAGGACTGGAGCGCTGTCTCAGCAACGGCCCCCACCTAAGCGCCCAAGTAACTACCTACACCCACTGTAGGTACCTAAATAAGTCACCACACGTTGTTATTACTTAGCACCTCAAACAGTTGACATTTGCACATGCAGTCTGAATGTTCGTACTGATACGAAGTACTGCCTCTCAATCAACCAGGCAACAGCAGCATCTTCTTGACCACACTCCTGCGAATTATTCCATCGTCCACGCTCATGCCTGTTGAGATGAGGAACTCAAGTCAAGTGTTTCATCGCTTGTTTTCACGCTACGTACCTACCTAGGTAGGTATTTATGGCTCTTGCCTTGCGCCCTTGCCCAGAGTAGGAGATGTTTCCGCTCTTCGAGAATCGATACCATCCAGTATCCATGCCGGCCCCAGAACGACGATATATCGTACATTTCTACCCCTCGTTCCCTCAGCATCCTCACAAACACGCCATCATGTCTGGTTAATTGCCCCGGATAAAAAAACTTCTCATTTCGTCCTCTGCTCTGTCACGACTGGCTCACGGCGTCTTTGCCTTGGCCGTCTCCTGCCGTCGTGTCAGATTCAAAAACCATGCCTTGACAATTTGCCACGCAAAGCGCAGATAGAATCTAGACTGATTACCTTGATAGAACTGGCCTCGGTCGCCAATCTCGGTCATCATCAGACCTGCCTCGACAACTGGCTGAGCCCAGCGGTTGCTAGCCCGTGCATATGCAGCAACCAGCTCATTACCATTCGTAACGCCGCCTCAAAACACCGGCATCATTAATTAGCCTTGCGTCAGGGAAAACACGGATTTGCGACGTACCGCTTGACCAAAAGTTGCCATCCTGCACCCATCGGTACTTGTCCCCAACTAGATTCAACTTTGGGAATGACTCCTTCAACCAATTCTGCAATCCTCTCGGCCCACCGACCCTCTTGCCATCCGCAATGCCTGCAGACGCACATATGAACAAGCCCGTACAGATACTCAGCACATCCACGCCCTCTGTCTCGGCATGCCCTCGTAGCCACTTGAGTCCCTCTTGTGCAAACTTCTCTGTCGGATCGGGACCAGGAACAACCACCATGTCCAGTTTGCCTGGAGCCACCTCCTCGTCCGTGTACACATGGGTTGCTTTGAGGACAGCCCCCGAAGTCAATGGAATCTCGGACCCTTGCTCCGGGCTGCTAACGTAGTAAATTGACACGTCTGGTGCGAGAGAAGAAACGTGCGAGGGGATGAAGGGAAGAAGGCCGAGGTACTTCTTGCACATGACGCCGAAGGTATCAACGCATGCGACGTCCAGGAATTGGGCGCCATTGGGGATGAACACTCCTATCTTGATGTGTGACGACATTTTGAGTCGCTTTTTTTGCCCTTCCTCGCTGGATAGTTGATGGATGATACGAAAGGTAAGAGGGGAAGTTGAAATGCAATGTTGAATAATGCGCAACGCAATTCTAATGGGCCACCCACTAAATTCAAGTTGTCGACAATTCAGTAGGCAAAATAGAGCAGTGCACAAGCAAGATGGGGAAAAGTGTGCGACAGGTACAAATTATATAATCCAAGACCAACGCTACTTGTACTCTTTTCGCAGCCATAAAGCCGCGACACATCGGATTTGCGATGCCGTATGGCGGACGCAAAGCGGACGTACATCCGGACGTGCTCGGAGTTGAGACGGCGGCCGGGGGGGTATGGAACTCGTGGGATCCACTCCGTCTTGCCGCCGAGGAAACCGATTAAACCTCAGTGTCCGCGTTGCCATGAAAGTTGACGTGGACAAATGACGCATTTATTCGTACTACTCAGGATAGGGGGCTGTGCTTGCGAGATTTGTGTTTCATCCAAGCGCAGCTTTCCCTGCGTTGGCAGTTCAATCTTGATCACGGCACGTGGCACCATCACTTACACGACGGCCCAACAGAGACAATTTGCAAAAAACCCAGTCTCACGCCCCGGAGCCAGGGCTACATCAAAAAATCATTAAATATTAATCATCTAGTTCGGGCCCTCATTGCACAACCACCCGAATCCCCATACCCATTGATTCCTCTATGCAAAAATGTCTAGCGAATGTGACAAGACCAGCCAGTGACCGGGCACACTTCGCATATGCCCAACACCGAAAGAAACGCCGGTCACTGAAGTCGGA